AAAAAAAAAAAAAAAACCAGTTTCGACCGGTTCTTTTGTTGTATTCTTAGAACTCTAACTGCAAATGAGTCAAACCAAGTCGAGCCGTTCTACAAAGTATCCGGGCTTGGCTCATATAAAATAAAAAAGTGACGAGCTAGCTCGAGGAGGACTGAGCACTTGAGCTTGTTTCAGCTCATTAGACATATGTAATGGCTGATCAATCATATAATCAAGTCGCAAACTTATGGAGTTTTACATCAGAATAAAGCATCTTGATTTTTCAGTGGCACACCATATATGCAAGATTTGTCCCACCAGTCACTATTTTTCTAGCTAAGGTGTAAGGAATAATCCGGTGAGTATCCGATTGCTCGAGCAAAGTAACTCGAGCATGCTAGACCGTAGTTTAACTTGCCCGGCATCCAATGTTTTAATTCACAGAAAATAACAAACACAAATTACACAGAAGATATGAGCTACATGCATGATGCAACAAAGATTTTTATTACCGTTAGTTAGATCTTGTAAAAAACATTGCCTAATTTACCGACCGGACTACGCCGACCTAGATTACGAAAACTAAAAAAAGAAAATCATTTCATTTAGCTACATACACATAATAACCTCAGCCACCATGTCATCCATCAACAGCCTCTCGATTTCATTACCAACCATCTCGACTTCTCCCCTGGGGCCCGCCCACCCCATCTCCCGATCCACAGCCTTTTCCGACATCATCTCGACTTGTGGCAGCTCCAACTGGTCGATCAATTTATCATCAACAGAGTCCACAATAATCCCGCGGGCCCGCCAGTTCACTAGATTCGAACCCGTCGATTTCGGCATGACCCATGGGCACGGGTCCACGTGCTCCACGAAAATTTGCTTTAGTGCAAAATTTATCCTGTCGAAAAGCAACTTCCTTTCCCATTTCGTCTCATCATCACCACCGTATTTCTTCTCGAGTGTGTCGAATAATTTCGGGTCCAGAGGGCAGTCTGGAGAGTACCATGATGTTTTGAACATGCTAAAGTCGAGCTCTTGAGGAAGCCCAGAGGTAATTAGCACGTCGAGTGCATAATGAGCTTCCCAGCCTTCGGGACCTTTTGTGTAATTTTCTTCCGGAACAATGTGGGACGGTTGAGCGTCTTCTTCCTCGATCGCGAAATGTGTGGACATGTCAGCATCGGTGCTCGACTCCATCTTGAGGAGCTGTAGTTGCAATCGGAGTTCTACAGAAAAATAAAAAATTAAAAAAAATTGATAAATAAAGTAAGAATGGTGGTTATGGTATTTATAGTTTTAAAAGGATAAAGCAAGCTGTGAATTTCTGGAATTAAGTAAAACATTTAGGGGTGTATTCAAGATCCAATTTTGGCGCTAAAAAATTTGATACTCTCACCATATAGCAAGAGTTTCATACCCTGAAGTTCAGCACCGACTCTTTCAAAGCTTTCGGCAGATGATGCGTCCTCTATAAAAGGGGCTTCAAGGACTGACGTTGGGCTTGGATGATCGGCCTCTTTGGAGCATTCGGAAGATGCCAGCTCAGCTCCAGTGCAAGGTGAGGAAGGAGAGGAAGGTTTGGTTGGTACCTTGTCCAGTTCCTGAAAACGTGAAAAACAAGTATGTATGCACTTATTACATGATAAAGCATTCAGTGATTTAGTTAGAATGGCAATGCATGTCTAACACGACAAAAATCAGCATAAACTGATATGAACACTTGTCGTTATTATAAAATTCATAAAAGGACATATATGAAAGGAAATTACAGTTGTAGTCATTAGTCAGTTTACTGTTTATGCACGCTGCTGTATATGGTAGGTTTACTCATCCAGTTCACAAACTTTAAGGGACTTAAAAGTATTTGCAACCAAACCATTTTACATCTAGAAGTAATGAACATTTATAACTTTGCAGCTAGCTAGTCCAATAGAGAATCGCATTAAATCATTTCGTAGTTTCGTATATGACCAAAGTTGGTAGCCTCTGCTTGGTACAAAGTGGCGAAAGTTCTCTCGGGAAGTGATTTGAAAAATTTATGGAAAATGTGTGTAAAGGTAGAAAAGAAATAGGAGAGCATAAATGGCGTGTTCAGTTACTGGTGAAAAACATATTAATGTTTTGTCCCATGAAAAGTAACATGGGAGAAGTTGCCAGATACAATTGCTCATGTGTGTTTATTACAGCTAAAAGGTTAGGATAACATATAATACCTAGCTTAAGAGAAATAATAGATTCTTCCCCTGCCTAATCAAGTACTACCAAACAAGGAATTAATATTACTCAAAGTTGAGACGAACAATCGAACGGATGTTAGAATCGTAATAAATGAACCTCAACAGAAGCAGCAGAACAGGAGAAATAGAAATAAAATTGTTAAGAGCAGTAGATGAAAACCAATTTATCAACGAAAAGTACCGGACATGTAAACGTTTAAAGTGTAAAGTAGAATAACTATATGACAAATAAGCAGCACGGCCCCACAGAGAACCACCAAAACTCATACCTGGGCCCCACAATTCCCTTGTTCTTGAAAGGCGGATTCATCACCCTCCATAACCGAAGACGGCTGCTTCTGGACTAAAGTAGAAGGTTCCGGAGAAAAAGGTGTGCTCACAGGTTCAGAAATCATAACCACATCAACCATAGGACTCCTACATGCGTCTGCCTTTGCAGACATTTCAAAAGCGATCTGCTGTTCTGATATGTCCTTAATATTTGCCTCCATTTGAATCTCAATATTTGCCTCTGTTGATGTGTCTATCTCACCAATAAACATGTCCTGACATGGATGTGGCTTCTTCCCCCGAGATTTGGAGTATCTAGACAGATAATCTTCCTTATTACGTACATTTCTCTTTACAACCTCACTTTTACCACAATTTACAGTCTCACAGCGCATCACAACTTTTTCCCCTGCCAAACTCTCACGATATGAGCTCATCTTACGGCTCCTTCTTCCTCCGCCACCTGGAGGAAGGGATTTGGACCTACATGTATTTCTGGTGATCTCATCCGTCCACCCATCCCTACTACTAATACCTGAAGGAGTTGTCTTCGCATTTATACGGCTGTGCTTCGCTTCCCGATCGGGCAGCGCGAGCATCTCCCCCAACGTGCTGCCCTTGATATTAACCACCTCCATGTCCCGATAACTGTGAGTCATTTTCCACCTCTCAGACAGCCTTTTTTGGGCCTCCCTATTCACAGATGACTCGACCTGCGCAAAAGATGGGTATCCATAAGATTTTCCACGGGAAAACCGGAACCCCTCAGACTCACTCTCGGAATCACTTTCATTGGCCTCATACGAGCTCTCGTCCCCTGCATACCCTCTACCCCAAATCCAGTCATTAGTCTCGTCATACCTGTCCCTCATCTGCATCGTGATCTCTCTCGCTATTTCCCGAGCCTCCTTAGATACCGGCCTGGATGGTCCCACGCCACTCGATGAGTCTTTCCTTCTTTGGGACCTATTCACGAGATCGAGCGGCAGGCTGGACAGCTTTTGCACCTTCCCAAGGTTCGGCTTCAGGACAACAATCCTTGTGGGGAGATCCTTTTCCTCGTCCCCCTTCTCTGATTGGGCCCTCGATGGACTATGGGAAATGTGGGTCGGGTGGCGGTGCCGTTCGAGCAGAAGCCCGTCTTCACGTCTCAAATTGATTGGGGAGTGTCTCGCGTGCTTGCCTTTGCTTTTGTACGGCTTTAAAACTGCTATGCGGTTTTTGGGAGAATCATGATGCGAGTGCTGTTTCAGAATATGGTCCATCTCGTCCGAGACCCGAAGCTTTTGCCTGATGAGGGCCAGCTCGGGCTTGGTGAGGATCGAGCTTGCGCTCCACCTCGAGGAACACCGGCGGCGGCTGGCGGCCTCCAAATCCTCATACACGTCCTTGAACTCGGGTGGGTCCCGTGGGCTTCTGTTCGTCTGGGCATCATAATGTAGGATTCTCGATTTCGCTTGGTAAGCCTCCAAAAGCCTTTTCTGCTGTCCGTGGATGTGCCTAGGGGAAGGCAGGCCATCGAGACCCATCAATCGGGCAACGACACTTGGCGGACGTCTCCTGGGCTCAACTTCACGGGACATTTCTTCTGCGAGGAGCTTCTTCATTGGTGTTCCGGTGGGACCTCGCCATGAGCTCTGCCCCAACTCGAGCATAAACTGTGGCAGCAAAATAATTCAACAAAAAAAAATGTCAACGAATTTAGAGCCATTTCAGCATGGATTTCATTGCAAAAATACAAACAGAAGTAGATAATGACTGACCAAGTCATCCCTTTTGCATCCATCTATGTAAGTACGAGAGTCCGCGGACAATCTTGGAGCAGCTTTCTGATGCTGCAGAATTCCTGGTTAAAAAAGTTCACACTAAAAACGATCAATCTCAATACAAGCTAAAAGTAACTTAAAACAAAATGTAACTCCTCAATAGAAACAAAAGTTATAATTCTCTGAATATATATGTATATATGTGGAACGATGGACCGTATGGCAGCTAAACAAGAATATGAGGCGTTTATGGGGTTCAATCTTGGAGCTTTTTCATTAAGAAACCAGGACCAGCAATTATAGAAAACCCAAAAGAGGAACAAAATCATAATGACCCTCACACCACTATAGAACATTTATTCATGCCCACTTGCCAACAATACTTTGCTTTTATAAAGCATAATCTATGCTAGTGATCAACTCAATTAAATATTTTCACGCTTTAGACCTTGCAAGTAATAATGCCATCCCAGGAGAAAGAAAGATTTAGTAATATAAGTGTAGAAGCAAACAAAATTATAGTCATGGAAATTGCTTAGTTACAAAGCCATGTTTCACGGTGGATAAAACAAAATTAAGTACCCAAAATCTGGAAATCAGTTACACTAAGAACTATAAAATATAATAGTAAACAAACCAAACAAATCATCATAAATTTTAAGGTTCAAAATTGAAACCAGAAGAAGACGACCGAGGAGCCGGAAAACAGAACCAGTAACTTTTCATCGTAACAAAAAAAATCAGACAAAAAGCAAGAGAACAGACACATTAAATTACTGCAAAAAACAACATTTACCTTCAGTAGTTTGTTCGCAAATGATCAAGAATTATCGAGTGGAGATAATTAAATTCAAAGCTTTTTTTTTTACCTTCAATGCCGGAAGTGCTTTTAGATTTCCGGTGCCGAGCTCTCTCCATTTTCTTCTATCCAAATTCAGATCAACCAGAACAGGAAGAGCACAAGGGTAACAATAAAGTACTGAAAATTTTCAAAATCAAACAAAAATTGAAAATTAACAGAGAGAGAGAGAGAGAGAGAGAGAGAGAGAGAGAGAGAGAGACTTTCTCTTACTTTTTTGAAAAAAAAAAAAACAATTTGGGGAAAATCAAATCGAGATTATCGGAAAAAAGCAGGACAAAGCCTCGAAAACAATCGCCATCGTCAAACAAGCTTTTACATCCAGCTCATGTTCAAAAATGTGCTCACACATTCTAGAGAGAGAAATACTCTGCGCCTTTACACACACACACACACTAGCAAATACGGCATGGAAAGGACTGCTAAAACGGATACCAGCGGAAGGCACGTTCTAGAGAGAGAAAGGGGAGGGAGAATAATATACTTCATGCGCTCTGGCTCGTTCTAGAGAGAGAAAGCACGGAAGACCGGTGAGAGGGGAAACAGCGCCGGCGAACATTTATGACGGCACTGTGTGTTTGTGTGTGCGTTTTGTGTGTGTGTGTGTGTGTGTGTGTGTGTATTTTTTGAATTGGGGTTTAAAATAAATAGTGAGGGTGGAATTTGGATAGTGGTCACGGCTCAACTAGTTTAATAAATCAATTGAGTTTCAAAAATTCTGATTTTTTTTTTTTATATATAATCTTAATAAAAATAAAACTTTTTATATAAAATTATAATGTTTTGGCTTATTAAGTATCGAGTTGATTCGTTAATATTGATAAACAAGTTGAGCTCGAACTGGTTTGTTAAAAGTTTAATTTGATTCGTTTACAATTCCAAAAAAAGACAGAGTATATTAGTGATTTTATTAGGAAATTAATTAAAAATGATGAAAAAAGGTAAATTCCTTTTTACAATATAAAATAGTGTTATGTTAATAATCTTTTAATTACGATGTGATGAAAAAAATAATAAAACAGTGATTAGTTGTTATTTCACCTGAGTAATCTATATATATATATATATATATATATATATATATATATATAGGGAATATATATATATATATATAATTGCTGGCAAATTTCATTAAATTTTATTCAGAGCAATTAATAAAAATATAGTTCATTTGATAAAAACTATTATGACTATCTTCAAAAACTGTTACAACATATTTTATTTATTTATTTATTCTCTTAATTTGTTTCATACAGTTATCCACATATTTTTACTACATTGTGGGTTTGTAACATGGGATTACCATTTTTTATTTCTCTATATTTGGTGTCTTTAAGTGTTGCATGATTACGAGATAATGTTTAAACCATTAAATTTGAATGGTTAAAAATATATTTTTTTATTTGGATGTTGATTATTCGAATGAAAAAGAAGTATTAATTATGGATGTAATATAGATACAATCCAAAATACACATACACAAAAATCTCTTGTAATAGAGATATTACACCAACTCCTTCAAATTTAAATTTTTCATGCAAGATTTTAAACTATATGAGTCGAATTTAATGAAAAATAATTTTCCATTTCATCTTTATGCAATAAATATAGTGATGAACCTGAATACTTTTACGATGTTCATTTTTACTAATGACAAAAATTTATGAAAATGTGATGCTATTATTTAACTCGTAATTTTATTATTATATATGCATATACAAATAACCTATAATAATTTAAATATATGTGCATGTGCACATTATCAAATACTAGTTAGGAGAAATGTGTATTAATAATGATTAATATTAAAATATATTATAAAATCATGCGAAATATAAGAGAAAAACAGTAAAAAGAAATGTATGAGAAATATGAGAAAAAATGTGAGAAATATGAGAAAAAATGTGGTCAATGATTAGTACACTTTTCAATGAAAAAAACAATATTCTAATATGCTATTCCTTAATTTTAGTACACTTTTCAATGAAAAAAACAATATTCTAATATGCTATTCCTTAATTTTTCACCTGTATTTTGCTTTTATGGGCTAAGAGTAGGACAGCTGCAAATTATTTAATCTGTGTATTTAATTATTTATAATTTGTGTGAGTATATGTATCAAAGAAAGTCAATTTTACAGGGTCTAATTAAATCATTAATAGATTCATATAAGATGTAATTATGTGATTATCATGGGGTCTAAAATAGAATATAAACAATATTAGTGCACTTCATCAGAATTTGGCAAATCAGTGACTTTAATAAATTTTCACCAAAATAAGTGTAATAAATGAGTGCCAATTCAAAAGTAGTAAACAGAAATGACAGCCAATTAATTCCCATATAACAACCCAAACTTTTTTAAGGAGATCTATTGAATTAGATGACTTAATGACATTAATATCTTCACCAAATATCATGAATAACACTCCAAATTCAAGCATGCATGACCTTGGTAGTTCATTTGTTTATAGGAAAATGCTACAGTCCCGTTACGGAACTATTATGTCGAAGTTTATTACTGTTAGATCATCATGTAACCGTCGTGGATATTTGATCTAACGGTTACAAACTCCGACAAAATGGCTCCGTAACGGGACCGTAGAATCTCCCTGTTATATTGATCTATAGCTCGAGTCAATAATAAATTATCTAAAAGATATAGTATATTTTTGTCGTTACTCGATCTGGGTTGATGTTCATTCTTTTAGAGTCGATCCATCATATTTTTTTTAATAAGAGTATACACATAATTACATTATAAAATTTAAGAAATTCTTGTATGTTGTACATCAAAATATATGATATCCAATATACATGTGAATATATTTTCATGTTTATAAGAAAACAAACTTAGTCACATACACTACAAAAAAAAATTCTTACATTCCAAAGAAATTTTTTCGTCGGAATTCTTTATATATTCTGTTGGAATAGTTATTCCAACGGATATTCCTACGTATAAAAATTTGTGGGAAAAATGGTCGTTGGAATAGCTAAAATCCAACGGAAAATTCTATGGAAATAAATTCCTACAACCATTTCAACGCAAAAAATCCGTTGGAATTCCTCAACCATCCAACACTTATTCCAACATAAATTAAGTTTGTTGGAATATTTATTGGAATTTCCAACGAAATTTTTACCGTTAAAATTTTTCATGAAATTGAAGTGTTTTCTTGCAGTGATATACGCGGCCATCTCAAGAATCAGGAACAAACTCATAGACAAAACAACTCAGAGAAAATCATATCCATTTTTTCTTGGAATCCCAAGGCAGAAAGTTAATTTAATTTGATAAATTGAAGGCATGGGAACAAAAGTTTTGGTGAATGGATACAAATAATATTTTGGTGAATAAATGACAAAATAAGGTAACTTTATTTGTTCCTTTACTCCCCCAAAAAAAAGGGAAAAAGAAAAATGTGAAAATTAACCGTGAAGGGGGCAGGATCGTGTGAGGTATAATCCACACCAAATTGATGCAACAATAGTTTGTTTTAATGTGGTTAAGTTGTTATTCGAGTCGAACAAAGCCGACAATTGAGTAGCTCGTGTTCGAACTAGCTCGACATTCGACTTGTGTTGGAGATAAAGCAAATCATGCTTTAGATTCAAACAAGAAAATGTTTAGCAATAAAAGGAAATACTTGAAACAAAACTGCAGAGATATCAAAGCTTTCTCATTAGGGTTTCTGTACAAGATGCTTTCTTATATAGCTAGCTAGGAATTATCTGTAAAGAGCAAAATAATAAATGCAGCTCGTGATGAGCTGTGCATGCTGCCAAGAATAGAGCAACGTCTCTTGTACTGCATGGGGAAAATGAGAGGAACATGAAAGATGCATGTTGGGTAAAATGATGTGGAATGGTAAATCCACGTGTACAGATTATATTTGCTAACACCCCCCCGCAGTTCGAGCGAGCTTAGTGGAAAAACGTTCAATTTATTCCTCATGCGAGCGAAGAACTGGCCAGAAAGCGGTTTGGTAAGAATGTCGGCTGCTTGATCCATTGTTGGGACGTGTAGAACAGAGATGGACTTATTGAGCACCTTCTCTCGAATAAAGTGAAGATCGGCCTCGATATGCTTGGTGCGACCTTGTATGACCGGATTGCATGACATGAAGACAGCACTGAGATTGTCCACCCAAATAGTGGGTGGAGAAGACTGTGGCACATGAAGCTCTTGAAGCAAAGTTTTGTTCCATAAAACGTCTGAGACCGCATGACCTAAGCTGCGATACTCGGCCTTTGTGCTGCTCCGGGAAACTGTGTGTCGTTTTTTTGAACTCCATGAGATTAAATTTCGACCAACAAAAACACAATGACCAGAAGTAGATTTACGATCATCAGGATCACTAGCCCAATCCGAGTCTGAAAAAGCTGAGATATTGAGGTGTGGAGATTTCATAAGATGCATGTCAAATTCTGAGGTGCCTGATAAGTATCTGAGCAACCTGTTCACTGATTTCCAGTGAGAATCGAGGGGGGACTGCATGAATTGGCTCAATTTGTTAACAGCAAATGTAATGTCAGGTCTAGAGATGGTAAGGTATTGCAGACTCCCAATCAATTGCCTATACAACAGACCATCTTCAAAAGGAGAGCCATTGAATTTGGATAATGCAGGTGATGAAACCATTGGAGTGGATTGCCCCTTTGAGCTTTGCATGTCAGCCTTTTTAAGGATTTGTTGAATGTAGGATTGCTGAGTGAGAAGCATGCCTTCCTTGGTATAAGAAATCTCTATTCCCAGAAAATTGTGTAAGACACTAAGATCTTTGAGAGGGAAGCTTTGGGATAGCAAATGAATCACATTGTGAACCTCAAGAGGAGAGCTCCCTGTAATCACCATATCATCCACATAGACAATGAGATAAGTGATGGATGTGGAGGATTTTCTAACAAAAAGAGATGCATCAACAAGAGAAGAGGTGAAACCCAACTTTCCAAGAACCATTTTGAGTTTGTCAAACCAGGTTTTGGAGGCCTGTTTGAGACCATAAATGGCTTTATTGAGTTTGCAAGCATAATGTTCTCCAGGGTGCTGTTCAAA